TAATCAGATAGAGAGAAAATGAGTGGAGAAGGGAAGGTGGTGAGTGTAACTGGAGCATCCGGTTACATTGCTTCATGGCTTGTCAAGTTGTTGCTTGAACGTGGGTACACAGTCAAAGCCTCAGTGCGTGACCCAAGTCAGTCGTGCTAACTTAATCTCTTTACACTTATAACTTCAATCTTTAACTTCCGTATTTATGGATCACACGATTCTGGGTCTTGCTTTTAAGTTGATTTCACTCTTAAAGTTTTGTTCTTTTTTATTGATTCAATGATTATTTAGGTTCTTGAATTTCTGGGAAGGAGTGTTGTTTTTTGTAGTGTACGATGCTGGCTAAATTTTAACCTTGGTAAAATTTAAAGAAAGCAGTCTTAAGGTGGTTTAGTTACCTTTGAATAACTTTGTTAATTAGTAATTACAATTCTTAATTCGAGCAGTTTTAATTGATGGCTGAGTTTGTGTCGGGATGTAGAGTTTTGAATTCCTAAAGGTTTGAGTGAGTCAATCCAATTAGTTCAATTGATGAGAACGTTTCAATAATCAGATGTTATTCGATGTGGTCAACGTTAGATCCATCCGAGAAACTTCAAGTGTCATTTTGGCAATTAGGCTCTGCATTTTTGGAAAAACAGAAAGTTTTTTGTTCCATGGAAAGACAAAGTAACAATTTCTCCTTTTGAGACTCTGGTTCCTACTTATTTCTTCCTTTTGCTGCTTTCTGTTTCATAGATGATGCAAAGAAAACTGAACACTTGCTTGCACTTGGTGGAGCTAAGGAAAGACTGCAGTTGTTCAAAGCAGACTTACTGGAAGAAGGATCTTTTGATCCTGTGGTTGAGGGATGTGAATGCGTTTTCCATACTGCATCCCCATTTTATTTCACTGTCAATGATCCTCAGGTGCTTTCCTGTATATATTATTCTTTGTACCAGTATAAATTTATTTTCAAATCTTACCGTTACTTTGGTTGAGTTGTTGCTTTCAGATATCAAATTGCAACCAGTAATGTCATTTTTTACATGCTTGATTTCGTATGCTTTTGGAAGTAGTCATATTTTCCCGCACATTTGTTCATCCATCTTGCTGCCTTTTTTTCCTGGCTGCACCGCATTTGCATGATAATCACTGTTATAATATCCAGCATTGAAAGAGCCAGCATTTCGACTTTGAGTGTATTTCCACTTTCTCAATGATTCAAAGCAACCCAATAATTTTCTGGATATTTTCTTTTTCTTTCTGCTCCTTTTTTTCTTCTTTTCAGGCAGAACTTGTTGACCCTGCATTGAAGGGAACAGTTAATGTTCTTAGGTCATGCACTAAAATTCCTTCTATCAAAAGAGTTGTCATAACATCATCCATGGCAGCAGTTGTATTCAATGGGAAATCTCTTGCACCCGATGTAGTAGTTGATGAGACATGGTTTTCAGATTCAGACTTTTGTGAGAAATCAAAGGTACATCAATGGCTAATTTCTAATAGAATACTATCTCCTTTGAAAGCAATTTTTATATCATGGCACAAGAGGATTTAGCTGGCAATATAACAAAAGTCATTTGTCTATTCTTCTCCTCCTTTTTGTTTTTTCCCTGTTTTTTGCATGTATGAATTGGAGCAACTGACATATCCTGTATCGATTTGAGAACGCCCCTTCTTGTTCATTCCCTTTTAGTTTTGCTTTTCGGCTATTGTTCTTTTGTTCTCCATACTCTTAGGAAGTTTCTTTCAGCTGTTCATTTCTTGCAATCATTAAATTAATTACAAAAAAGCAAAGTTTCATTTTTTCAATGCTGCTTGTTTAATGAGATGCAGATTTGGACATCTGGATGTGCCTCTTTTTTTTTTCCTCGTGAAACATAAGACTATCAAAACTTTGATAGCTGGATTGCCACATCTGAGGAAAATATATATATATATATATTATTTTTTTGATATAAATAATGATGCTCTTTTGTTTGGATTGGAGTGGCATAGATTGTCATATTTGCTAAAATTATATACTTCACTTTGATGCAGACCATAAACCTTTTACATCATTTATTTACCTTCAGTTTGCTTTCTTAACAGCTATGGTATCAACTTTCAAAAACATTAGCAGAAGAAGCTGCTTGGAAATTCACTAAAGAGAATGGAATTGACATGGTCACTTTAAATCCAGGGTTGGTGATCGGCCCTCTCTTGCAGCCAACACTTAATCAAAGTGCAGAGTCAGTTCTTGACCTTATAAATGGTACTTCTCAGCTAGTGCAAAGCTATATAAATTTTACTTACCTTCCATATGAAATTCATACTTTCTCTAGGTTATTGCTGACTTCTGCTTTGGCTAATTTGTAATTGCTCTTGCACAAATAACAAGTAAAAGTGATAATAATCACTGTGGAATAGCTATGCACAATTAACAGCAACGAAAACCAACTTTTTAGTGGAGTTTCTTTTTGGTCTTATGCATGGAATTTCCTTCATGAGGTATTGGAATGGCAGATCTTATCTCCTATTCATTTTTATTTTCATGTAGCTATTACCAGTTCTCATAAGTCTGAAGAAATTGACTGGATCTTGATACCAATTAGTGAATTAGGACTATTTAACAGGTTTTCTTACTTTATTTGGTTTGGAGTCTATAAGTAAGCACCGGACCCTGCCTAGACATTAAAAAAAATATCGAATATTGATTATTTGAATGAATTGAGTTCTCTCTCAGAGATTACTTCTCTTGATTTTTGTTCTTATTAGTGTATTGTTTATGGTGGGATTCAAACTTGGCACCTCCGCTCTCATTCTTTGCAAGTGTACCACTTATTTTCCAACACCATTTGTCCTTGCAACTTTTCTGTAGAAGGTTTACATGTATGATTAGATTACATTAGATGTGTTGACTTTAGAAATTCACATGGGTACATGTCCATAAAGGCTTTCACGCTTTTGTAAGGTTCTAATGTGTATGTCATTGTGTGGAACTTAATGGTGCAGGTTAGAGAAAATAATTAGCACCTAAATCTTGTAAATCTTATTGGTATCCTTCCACCTTCTTAATTGAACCTGTCAACTCTGCATTTTCCACATGATAAATTCTCATACAATCTTGTAAAATTTGTTCTCACGAGCTTTTTCGCATGGGCTAGTATCTTAAATGTCTTTGAATTTCAATTACAATTTTTTACATTTGGAATAATCTGTTTTCGCTTACTATAACATGTAAAATCTTGGCACTGCATGTATTCTTCTTATTATATTATTCCCATTGTCTTCATTGCAGAATTTTTATGAAAGTACCATTAGAACTACCAGAATTGATTTTAGAAATTGTGAGTGTAATGAGAGAGATAACCTGCACGGGCTAATTACCCATTATTAGGTAGTTTCTTGTATCAAACCCCATGGACATTTAGATTCCATAATTCTTCTAACAAGCAAGTCTATACCTCACATATATTATTCTTCTTATGCATGCAATTATACCTGCTGCAAGCAATTGAGATTATTTCATGCAGGGGCAAAAAGCTATCCAAATACAACGTATAGATGGGTAGATGTTAGAGATGTTGCCGATGCACATATCTATGCCTTAGAGAATCCTTCTGCTAACGGGCGATATTGTTTAGTAGGGACTGTTATACACTCTTCTGAGGCTGTGAAGATTTTAAGCAAGCTTTACCCTGATCTCACTATTCCTAAACAGTAAGTTTCTTCTATGTATGGCATGCAGTGCACTTCTTTTCCTCTTCAATAGAGACAGCTGAGTTTCATTTCTAATTCTCAGATTTTTAGGCGATTAAAAAATAATGTTGTTTCATTAGCTTTTGTTTTATGCCAGTTGTACCTTGGCATTGAAATGCTGTTATTTCCCTTTATGACATATGCGTCGCAGGAACTTTTGGGAGATCTAGAGTGCCTATAAAATTTGTGGTCTACACAACAAAAAATATACAATTAATGAATTCTTATGATGCCAGAACTGATTTCCATGAAGAAGAATTACTTCAAAAAAAAACCAGGTTCGCCATCAAGGGTCTGATGTTCTGATTACTCTTCTGTACCTGCATCTGACTGGAGGGATTCTGAATAATCATCTGTGGAAATCTTTACCATCCATGCACTAAGTTACAGTCGTGCAGTTTGAACTGTTCTGTACGAAGGAATTCCTTGTTGACAATGATTGAATGTTCTGAGATTTGTTGCATATGCTGTGGTTAAACTCAAACACGTTAATTTCTTCTCTGATTGTCAAAATACCAATTAGCTTTTTTTAGACGGTATTTAGGATCCATATTTGAAATCCACTGAATTCAACTCATTGATCTGTCTCTAATTTGCAGAGATGCTGCAGCTGCCTTGTAATGGATTCTGGAATTTTTAAAAATCATTTTGCATGTTTGTTTAATGGCAGGTGTGCAGATGATAAGCCTCCCATGCCAAAATATCAGGTATCCAAAGAGAGAGCAGCAAGTCTGGGTGTCAAGTATACTCCTCTTGAGGCAAGTCTAAAGGATACTATCGAAAGCTTGAAGGAGAAGAACTTTGTTAGCTTCTGACTCTAATTATCTACTTGCAAGTCAGACAAATGGAAGTAAAATTCCACCCTAAAACTGATTGTTATTAATCTCATTTTTCACTACTGTGATTTGTCATGGAGGTTTCCATCCTGAAATGTTTAGGACACAACGGTGTAAAAAAAAATAAAAACAAAAGAAACTGAAGTCAGCAAGTAAGTTGATTCCAGTATTTGGTTTGCATGTGTACTTAATAAATATGCATATCGTGATATGCAGATTGACCTTGAAATATTGAAATGGTTGGTTGTCCTGGGGAGCTTCCTGAAAATGTTCATGATTTTGTATTCCTGAATCTATTTGAACACAGTCAATGGAGTTGCTGTTTGAGAAACTGCATTAACTTGGGTTCCTATATAGATCTAAATGCACGTGGGACGGATTTTTCCTTTTTATCTTCTCTCACACCCAGGCCCCCCTCTTCACATGATGGCTCAGGTAGGTCTGAACACCCTTTGGTACTGGGAGGGAATTTTGATTTGCTAAGAAAGACATCTGATGTGTAGGGAAGATAGACACGATATTAGATTGCGGTGTTAAACTTTGAAGCTATAGTTTTGTACTTATTTGGGCTAGAACATTTATTAGACCCGATTTCATTTGATTAATATGGATCAAGTACTAAATCTGGGTTAATCTAAAACAGCTTCTGTAAAGAATGTAATCTTTTAACTATAAATGTGTACATTAACCACTAAGTCTATCACCTACACACCATGAATTCATCAAAATGAGTTTCTTGATCCTGAGTCTCATCCCGCCACTTGAACGTCTCACGTTCCAAGCAATTATGATTTTTTTATTAATCTCAAATAGTATATCATTTGACAGTTTGAATTTTTAGAGAAAGACTTGTATGGCAGGAGTTGAGAGAAAACCAATAGACTTTTTAAATAGACAATGGTGAACTAGAGTAAAGGAATCAAACCATTGGTTTTCAAATATTTAGGAGCAAGTTACAGTTGCATTCATAACTTCAGGGCTAAAGAATAACTTACTTTTTAGACATGATTAGCTCAATCATTGCTGACGCAGACAGCCCAACTGCCAGTGCCACTTTTGCACACATAAGCTAATTACCATAACACGGTCCAAAACGTTAATTTCAGTTGCTCTGCAAGTCTCAAACAATCGTAAATATCTCTATATTTTCCAGTTTTTGACAGAAACTCTTTGATCCAACTCTTCTCTGTCTGTTTTCCCTGGACTCACACTCTCACTGTTGACGAGTGGAGAAGGAAAAGTAGTGTGTGTCACTGGAGGGTCTGGATACATAGCTTCATGGCTAGTCAAGTTCTTACTCAAGCGGGGTTGTTGTTGTCAAAGCCACCGTTCGTGACCCAGGTAAGTGATGTTCTCTTTATTTATAGCTGGCTTTGTTTCTTTTCAGTACATTATAATCTACTTTTTGTGCATGATATTCATGTCTCAGATTCTGGGTTTGATTCTTTTGTTTCCCACAACATAATCAATGTATAATTTTAACTTATTCTATTGATTTCTACTGAGGGTTCTGTTGAAATTATCTTTTAGTTCACCCATTTTATTTATATATGTACGTGTCATAGATGACCCCCAAAAAACAGAACATTTACCTGCACTTGCTGGAGCTAAAGACTACACTTGTTTAAAGCGAATTTGGTTGAAGAGGGGTCTTTTGATCCTGTAATTGATGGATGTGATGGTGTCTTTTACATGGCTTCTCCTGTATTTTTTGTTGCAACAAAGGACCCACAGCTAATCTTGTTCATGTTGAATTTCGACTCCAGTTTTTTCGTGTTTTCACAATATCCAGTTTATTTAAACTCAACTTGATGCCAGATGACATTAATACTGATTGATAGAACCTCTATTATGAAGGAGAATGTTGTTACCGTTGGTTTCTTTATGCTCCATATTTCAGGCAGACTTGATTGAACCTGCAGTAAAGGGACACTGAATGTTCTCTCAAGTCATGAAAAAAATTCCCTTCTGTCAAGAGAGTGATTCTTACATCTTCCATGGCATCTGTTTTTTTCAATGGAAAACCTTTGACCCCTGATGTGATTGTGGATGAGACTTGGTTCTCGGACCCTGCTTGTTATGAGTCAAAGCAGGTGAATATTTGGTGTTGATTTTACCTGATGGTGTTATATATAAGAGAATCAGTTGGCTCATGCCGAGTTCACATGTGAGTAGTATGTCAGCAGCGAATCCGGTTTGCTACAACTTGCCTTTCCATGTGAGGTTTTGAGTGTAAGCTACCAGTGTCCTCTCAAGTTCGTAAATATACCCAAAAACCTTGCATAAAGATGAAACTAGTATATGACTCCACTGCTGCAAGAACTGGTCTAATCTTATTATGAATGAGCTCGAACGTCCTATTACAAGAGGAACATGAACCTAGTAACTCTTGCATAAGACCCTGCACACATTCTGTTCTATGCAGACCTTTCACTTCTTCTTGAAGTTCCAAGTCCTTCATTTCTAGTTTCTTAATCTTGATTTAGATTTGAGGGTGTCATTCCTGAGAAATTCCTGGGTGTCCTTTTCTGAAACAAAAAAGTATAGGATTTAAACCGACTCCTTAATAACCTCTGGTGCATTTAGCAGAGCATGAACACACAGGTTTACATTAATATATTATGTCGTGATATATATAAACACAGTATGGAGTATGTCCAGTGACAGGGCTATTAAAAGGAAATAATTATCTCATTCTTAGATCACCCATTTTACATAGGTTGGGTGACATAATTGAACTTATTTTATGACTAGAAATAACGGGACAAATTATTAACAAGTACATAACAAATATAACTCTTTTACTTGTTGTTTCTTCTGATTTGAGCAAGGTTTGCAGGAGCTACATTCCCTAATGAAATGTACAGATTGTCGATGATAGAGACGTTGCATGTGCACATGTTCAAGCTTTTGAAACACCTTCAGCTAGTGGGAGATACTGTTTAGGAGGACAAGTTGCACACTTCCGTGAGTTTTTGGAGATTTTGCATGAATATTACGCTACTTTGCCCCTTCCTGAAAGGTGAGTTATTGTTTCGCAATATGATGAATGACATTCACGCTGGCCCTGCAAATGAGAAACTCAAGCATAGAATTTTATTAGGAGTGAGTGACAAGAGAGACACGGTAAAAGAGGGACTGAGAGTTGAAGAACTGTTTGTTGTTGGAGGAGATTAGCTTGACAGGTCGATGTGGTATCCAAGTGAGATAGCATGGGAGGGATGGTTCTGAGCGTGCTATGTATGATTGAGCTATAAAATTAAGTACTACATTAGACCAAACATGAGTGTTGTTTTAAGAGACTAAAGAGTGCTTTTTTAAAAGCAGTTTCTCACTTTGTCGGAATACTTGGAGGAAGAGTTCTGCATGTTGTCTTTCATTACAGATGAGAAGATGACAAGCCCTCTCCATTGAGATGCTGGATATATCGCGGGAGAAAGCAGAAAGTTCGAAGGAGAAGGGCTTTCTTAATGTCTGAATTGTGCTCTTGAAGATGGTGTAATAATGGAGTCTCAGTTTCTTGTAACTCTTGCATGCACTTCACTGTGAAATTTAAGGACTCGATGGAAACTACTTGTTTCTTGTCTCAGAGCGAAAAAGGTCTATTGATTAATTAATGGATTCGATTCCCAAATTGCTAATATATGAAGCAAAGCAGAATCAAAATGAACGACCACAGTGGGAGTCGAACCCACGACCTTTTGATCCGAAGTCAAACGCGCTAATCCACTGCGCTATGCGGTCCTAATATTTCAATATATCGAGCTGAAGAAATATATATATATATGGGCACAATATCTACATCTGTGCTCTTTTTTCGCTGGATTTTTAGGAATAGTTATCAAATTCAGTTTATATCTAGATACGTGCCATGAATTTTTACCAGGGTGTTGGGTCCACCAGCTTTTAAATAATATTTTATTAATAGACGCAAATAGAGGAGAGAGCGTGACCTTTTGTTTCTAGCCTTGTAAGAGTGTGTTCTGAAGTTTCGCTTCACCTGTCAACATCTTCCACGAAGGAATAAGCTCTCTTGTTAGTTACCGGGCAGTCGCCACTGGCACAGAGAGGATGAGCAGAGGAGGGGACGGGAAGGTGGTGTGTGTCACAGGAGGGTCAGGTTACATAGCTTCATGGCTAGTTAAGCTTTTGCTTCAACGTGGCTACACTGTCAAAGCCACAGTCCGTGACCCAAGTCAGTAACTCTCTCTCGATCTCTCTCCTTTTGAGCTCAATTTGGTCACGTTTATTTTTTATGTATTTCTATTTTTTTGTTACAGATGATCCAAAGAAAACAGAACACTTGCTTGCACTTGACGGAGCTAAAGAAAGACTTCATTTGTTCAAAGCTAATTTATTGGAAGAAGGAGCTTTTGATCCTATTGTTGATGGATGTGAAGGTGTTTTTCATACAGCTTCCCCTGTTTCTTTTTCACCCAATGACGACCCACAGGTTCTTCCCTCATATATGCTGCTGGCATTTATCATTTATCATCATTGATTTATCTGATTTGCCACCAATCTTAGCATCTATTCTCGAGAATCACATCAAACAACTCCTGTAATTGTTAGTGATTTAGCTAGTGAATGATGGGGTTCTACTTTGTTTTCATGTGTGATGAAGTTTGAAGAAAACCCCCAAAAGATCCGTTCTTTTTAAGACTGATGGATGGGCCAAGAGATTGAGAATCACCTACAAAACTAGTTTTTTATTGGGCTCATTGGACGCTTCACCAAGAAGGGGAGCGCCACCGGTCCGAACATCTCATGAAGATGTGAGGTCGCTCCGGGCATACCTTGTCAACGGGAGACTGGGGCCAAGCCAACAATTGGTAGCATGGAACTATTATATCAAATAATTTGACAAAACAAGAAAAAGAAATTGCATGACATAAATCAGAATGCAAGAGTGAAAACCGAATGATTGATGACGAGGCCAAGCAGAAAGCTTAACTGAATGAAATAGGATTCTCGAGCATTGGGCCTAAAACATAGTTTTTCTAATTCTATACGAGAACAGAAGAGGAATGATGACCCAGAGACAACCCAAAGAAGATGAAGAAAAAATGAAAAGGAATCCTGTATGACGTACCAATCTAACTCTCAAATCATTTTGGCTGACCATCATTTCATCTGTTTGGAACTGAAAGATTAGAAATTATGGTGGATTAGTCTTAAAGGGGCCCAAGGAGCTGATTAGGGTTCTGTACTTGTGTTGGGTATCCTAGCGGGACACTCTGCCCCCTTATTCAAACTAGGGGTTTTTTTTTTCAATCAACCTCTTGATACCTGATATGTTACTGTTTTAAAACTACGGGTTGAAAAAAAAAAGACAATCCAATAATTTTTTCTTTGTTACAGGTTGACCTAATTGATCCTGCCTTGAAAGGAACACTAAATGTTCTTAGATCATGTGCAAAAGTTCATTCTATCAGGAGAGTGGTTTTAACCTCTTCAAGCGCAACATGTTTATATAGTGGAAAACCTCTGAACCATGATGTGGTTATTGACGAGACCTGGCATTCAGATCCAGCTATTTGTAAGGAATTGAAGGTATGTATTATTTGATGATATCTTAGGGTTTTCTTTTCCTTCTAGAGAAATTTGTAGTTGCATTATTTTCAAATTCCACATGGTGGACCGTTCGGGGCTTGCTCTGTAAGCTAAAAACTAAATCTTTCATTCTTTCATCTTCTCTTCTGTATTGTTCTTCACCTATTATTTGCTAATGTGAATTTGTGTTCTTTCCCAGGCTTGGTATGCACTTTCAAAAACCTTAGCTGAGGAAGCTGCTTGGAATTTTGCAAAAGAGAATGCTACTGACTTGGTTACAGTGCATCCATCATTTGTGATTGGCCCTCTTTTACAGCCAACTCTTAATTTCAGTGTGGAGATGATCCTCAACCTTGTCAATGGTAATGATCTTCAGCAACTTTTTGCTTGTATCTGAAGTATTTAATACTTTCTCCATCTAACTTTAAAATCCTTGTAGCAACCTTCCAGTGTGGGAAAAATCTAAATTGAAGGTCTCTGCATCTCCAACTGATAGAGCAAGTTATCCCTCAGTTATCATTTCACGATCTTTTGTTATGAGTATGAGTTGGTTTCTTGAGAAATTATCCCATGTGATCTTGTCATTCCATTGAGGCTTTACTGATTTGTGATATTTGCATTTCATTACAAGTTCAATATAGATGTGCCAAAACATCACCCTACTAAGCTAAAATTCTCTTACATATAGGGTTGTGAATTGTGACAGATGCATTCAGTTTCCACCCAGAAGCATATTGTACATCTTCTCCTGCAAATCACTTTAACAATGATTAAATTATCAATTTATTGACTACCAAATTTTGAACCTGTCCTTAATAGCTGTTTAAAGAACTTTCCCTTGAACTGTTAGTGTCCTTACTGGCTGCATGTTTTGTTTGGTTCTCATGATGTAATCTGTTTGGTGCAGGAGCTGAGACATACCCAAATGAATATTATAGGTGCATCGATGTTAGAGATGTTGCAAACGCACATATTCAAGCTTTTGAAATTCCTTCAGCTAGTGGCAGATATGGTTTGACAGCACATGTCACAACCTTTTCTGAGGTTCTGAAGATCATCCATGAAAACTATCCTACTTTGCGCCTTCCTGAAAAGTGAGTCATTTATAATGTTCAAATTGAACCATTTTCATGTTAATTTGGCCTTGTTGATTAATCCGGATGGTTGGTATTTGATAGCCAATGGGCTTGTAGATAAGATTTCACTTTCAAGCCAGCTTGGGCGGGGAGGGGAATGCTACTTGTTAATAGTAATTCTGAAGTTATGCGACCAATTAAGATCAGCAGTGTAGATTAGTTATAAGAAATATGTTAAGAACCATCTTATGCTTTCTCTGTTTTAGAAACTAAACCATGAAAAGAACAAATATTAAAAATACAAGTATATTTTGAACATGAAAGTAGAGCCAGTCCCTTCGAGGACAACCGGTAAAGTTGAAGGTAGAGCTACATTTTGAAAACAAAAAATGTGTAATCACAAGCAAATCCTGTACCTTTTTTTCTGTATTGTAGTTGGATGGATATCCTTTTTTCGTTTGTGCTGGCTTGTTTTCTAGAAGCAATTGCTTTGACCCGTCACGGAACTTAGCACCTGTATATTGCTTTTCAACTGTTGCAGAAGCACAGAAGGCAGGTTCAAGCCATACCAGGTGTCCAAAGAGAAAGCACAAACTTTGAGTATCAACTTCACTCCACTGGATTTGTCTCTCGTGGACACGATTGAGAGCTTGAAGGAGAAGGGCTTTCTCAAAATCTGATTTAGCGAGATGAAATTAGGAATTGGTGTGTCAAAACAACTCCAAAACAAGAGCACAGGAACGAATTATATATATATATATGAGGGAATCAGAATGAGTTGATCGTATAGCTAGTGGTATAATTTTATTTGCATACTGAAAATAAATCAAGCATAATTTGCAGAATGTGTGTATTTCAAGCCCGTTTCTTGGCAGGTCAGGAGCTTAATTTGCCTTGTTGCTGTGATGAAGTGATTTTGCAACTCAATTATGATTCACGAAAACCTGTTTTCTCAAGCAATAATTAACCATCAAACACTAAAACAACATGAGTCCCTAATATGTTTTTTTTAATTATTCTATAATAAATACAAGTCTCAGCAGTATCAAGCAATAGATCACCAGCGCAAGGCGTGTGGGCTAAGAGTTGGGGCCGACCTTGTGCTAGCCTTTTCTCTCTGTTTTGTATTTTTGCACCCCCCACGTAAAATTCACTGGATTCATTTATTTTTTAATTTTAATATAGTTTTTAAATATTATTATAAATTTTTATTTCATTTTAAATATTTTTCTTTGTTTTATCATGTATTTGATCTGAAAATAACAATATCAATAACAAATTACTTATAAAAAATGGATTGAAAATGGATATTTATCATTGAAATGTTTTTGTGAGATTTGGAACCTGACTTTATGACATTTGTGATTTACTAGCTTTTAATTGCATAAAATATAAACATATTATTTTAATATATTTTTTATTTTACTTCAACAATCATGAGATTTAAAAAAAATATTTTCATTTAAAAACATTATATTAACTAAGATAAATAAGATACATATTAATAGAAAAAAAATTATCTTTATAGAAAAAATCCCAAAACAACTGTAATTTCAGACTTAATAATGCCAAAAAAAAAATTACCTTAAAAAATATTTGGGTTTCCGCAGTATAACACGGATATTCAAACTAGCATTCCTTCAAAGGTTGCTGGACTGGAATTTGTTAAAAAATAAAAAAGGTTGTCTCACAAACCCTAATAGAATTCTCTAGGAAATGCCGTTGATTTACTAATTTTTATTTTCTCGGAAAGAATTAGGCGCCCCCAAATCTCCCTTTCTTATTAATCAATGGAAGGATTACGTCCCCACCTACAAATTCTCGAATCTCAATAATCATATAAACAGACAAATATCTACCATGCAAGCCATCGCATTCACCTTATCTCCTTTGACTGGTCGAAGCAACCATGGGGAGGGTCATAGCTTGAACAAGCTTTGATTTTTCAATACTGCTATATTATTTACCCAGTCCAAGAGAGTGACTGAAGAGAGAAAAAAAAACAATAAATTATCGCAGACTGTTGGGTTATTTTGAAGATGCAGAAAAGATGTGAGCTTCCGGGAAGATGGTCTAAGCCGTCGAAATGATGTGCTTGAAAATTAAACTCATTGACCCCATTTCTTGCCTCCTCTCATCTATAGCTTATATAAGGCTCTCCGTCATGTATCTTTCACCACCCAACAAAGAACAGACACTTTCGCTTCACTGTTTGAGAATCTCGTTTTCTTGGTTCTAAATCACAAGCTTTTCAGCAATTCTAGGATCGCCATGGAGATGTCACCATTTAGACAAGTCACAACAGAGGAAACAAGGTCAAGGAAAACCAGAAGAGCGTGGAAGTTGAAGCTTAATATCACTTGGCATGCTATCAAGAAGGCAGTAAGTTACAACGTCAAGAAACGTCTCCACCTGCATCTTCAGTTAAGCTGTGCAAGAAGCATGAGACGGCTTTCCACTAACCAAACCCATCAGGAACTAGCTGTGAAGCCACATCAAGCTTCCAAACCAAAGCAAAAGGCTAGAAATCCCAGCAAAACACTAGCATCCCTCCTCCATGTGCCATATACAGCTTTGGATTTTGTAGACCGAGGAGATCACATGACTCCTACACTATCTCCCAAGCAGAGTATATCAGCAGTGTGGAAAGAAATCCATGGCTCAAGCAATTGGGAGACCCTTCTTGACCCTCTCCACCCGAGTCTTCGACGAGAAATTCTCAAATATGGAGAATTTGTTCAGGGCACATATGATGCCTTCGACTTTGATCCTTTATCAGATTTTTGTGGGAGTTGCAGGTATAACCGGCGTAAATTTTTTGAAACATTAGGCCTTACAAAGCATGGTTACAAGGTGAAAAGGTACATTTATGCCTTGTCCCATGTAGATGTGCCTGAGTGGTTAAAGAGGTCATACACTACGTGGAGCAAAGATTCCAACTGGATGGGTTATGTTGCTGTAAGCAGAAAAGAAGAATCACAGAGAATCGGCCGGAGAGACATAATGGTCGCATGGCGAGGAACTGTGTCACCATCAGAGTGGTTCAAAGACCTCACCACAAGTCTAGAACATATTGACAACACAAATGTTAAAGTTCAAGAAGGGTTCCTCAGTGTTTACAAATCCAAGGATGAGTTGACAAGGTATAACAAGTTAAGATCCTCTGAGCAGGTTATGCAAGAAGTGATGAGGCTAGTGAATTTTTATAGAGGAAAGGGTGAAGAGGTTAGCTTGACAGTTACAGGGCATAGCTTAGGAGGTGCATTGGCACTCCTCAATGCTTATGAGGCTGCAACTGCCATTCCTGATCTATTTGTTAGCGTCATTTCTTTTGGCGCACCAAGGGTTGGAAACATCGCCTTCAAGGAGAAGCTCAACGAATTAGGAGTCAAGACCCTACGTGTTGTAGTTAAGCAAGATATAGTCCCGAAACTACCAGGCCTGCTGAACAAAATGCTTAACAAGTTTCATGGACTCACCGGGAAGTTGAATTGGGTTTATAGGCATGTAGGAACTCAATTGAAGCTTGATGCATTTATGTCACCCTACTTGAAGCATGAATCTGACTTGTCAGGTTCTCATAATCTGGAGCTGTATCTTCACCTGATAGATGGATTTTTTAGCAAGAAATCCAAGTATCGATGGAATGCTAGGAGAGATTTAGCATTGGTGAACAAGGGTAGTGACATGCTGATAGAGGATCTGAAAATACCAGAGTTCTGGTACCAGTTTCCATACAAGGGGCTCGTGTTGAACCAACACGGTAGATGGGTTAAACCTGGCAGGCTGCCTGAAGATATCCCTTCTCCACTGAGTATCGATACGCCACCGAAACATGGTCGCCAATCTTAGATTACGTTGCACAGTTCCCAGTTTTTGTTTCACGTTAAGGCTTCAAATTTGTTGATTTTTTTGATTCGTCCCCAAGAATGAGAAGCTGATTTGATTTATTATCTGCATCTCAAGTCCTTTTTTCTTTTCTTACTGGAAACATAGTGATAGTGTTGTTATGTTTCTCTCTTGTACCTAGTAATCATGATTTGGAATTTGGCTCGGCATTTTTGGTTGTCTTTCCTCTTCTTATGTTATCTTTTTGTTATGTGTGATCCCACACTATATGATGGCGGGACCATCACATTAATTTTCATGTGATGGCTGTCTCTTAGTATTTAAAATTAATTGGTTCGGTTACTCTAGCGGAAGATTGGAAAATAGAAGAGAAGAGAAGAAAATCAAGAGAGAGAAAGAAAAGAAGAGGCAGCAGAGCAACCTGCGTTCTTCCTTCAATTTCCAGCTCGTTCACCGTTGGATCGGACTGAGATTTTGATAGTAGCTTCTAGACACGTTGATCTTCATTCTGGATGGTCGGATCAAAGATTAGTGGTGTGGAAGCTGGCTGTTTTGACAGAAAAGAGGGCTGTCAGTTTTGTGAGTTTTTCTCAAATAATTCTCCTTTAATCTTGTTGTAATCCGAGAATAAGTTGTTCTTGATGATATATATATGTTGTATCTCTTAGTTGAATCTGAGAAAGAATGATTGCGAACTCATTATTTAGTGATAGTGGAAGTTTTTAAGTGGACTACGGTCCCGTGGTTTTTCCCGCATCGGGTTTTTCATGTTAAAATCTTGGTGTTGATTTTGTAATTATTTGCATTATATTTTATCATTGTTTAATTCTGTTTTACTGCACAAAGAGGGAAAGAATTGGGACTTGTGAATTGTATTCCGCTGAATTGATCCGGATAAATTAGTGTCTGGTTGTTCCTAGTTTTCCCAACAAAGTGGTATCAGAGCTTTGGTTATGTAGATTGAATTTCTTGTGCAGTTAAAATGAAAAAGAAAGATTCGGGCATGATAAAGCTTACTTCCTCAAATTATTTTCTATGGAAAACAATGATGGAGGATCACTTATATTGCAATGATTTGGCTTTGCTAATTGAATGTAAAGGAATAAAGCCTGATGATATGGATGATGCAAAATGGAATGGGCTTAATAGAAAGGCTACTGCTAATGTTAGAAAATAGGTATCTTCTAAGTCCATTAATCATATTTCTCAAGAACATGATTGTTATACAGTTTGGAAGATGTTGGAAGAAATATTTGCTAAGGAGAGTGCACAAAACAAGGTTTTTGTAATTAGAGACTTTGTGAATTTGAAGTATAGAGATGGTGAAGATGCTTCAGTGCATATAAATGTATTCCAAGGGTTCTTGAATCAGTTGTCATTGATGAATCTGGAGTTAGCTGATGAAATGCAAGCACTAATCCTATTGAGTTCATTGCCGGATAGTTGGGAGACTTTGGTGGTGTAACTTAGCAATTCTACTTCGAATGGGAAGATCACTTTGAAAACAGTGAAGGATTGTATCCTCAATGAAAAGAAGAGGAGGAAAAGCACAAGCACTTCCAAGTCTCATGCACTTGTTATAGAAAGTCGAGGGAGAAGTCCAAGCAGGTTCTCTCACGGCAAGCAAGATAGAGAATCCAGCAATAGAAAAGGCAAATGGAAGCCAAAAGGAAGATCTCAATCAAGGAAGGGTTTTAAGTGTTATTATTATGACAAGCCTAGGCATATGCAAAAAGATTGCAGAAAGTATAAAAGAGATAAAAAGGGTAAAGATGAAGACAAGAATGAAGAGAATGGTACAGCTGCAGTTGTATTTGATGGTGATGTTGCCATTGTTTGTGATGATAGTTGTGTTAATCTTGCATGTTAGGATACCATCTGGGTTGTAGATTCAGCAGCTTCTTACCATGTTACACCCCGACGTGATTTTTACACATCCTACACTGCTGGGAACTTTGGTCAAGTTAGGCTGGGAAATCAAGGGATGGTT